AAGCATTTCTGGTTATTGCCCAAGATTAGCAAGTATTTTAATTCCCTCTTCCATCTTCACATCCATGAAATATTTGAAAGCAATCACATTCCTTGTTACAAGTCTAGAAAAATGCAGTTAAGTAGCCATTACTGTGCAAGTCCCTTTAAATATTTATCAAAAAAAAAAAAAGACAATGCTTAATCTGTTTTAAAAAAACAAAACACAGGATACAAACACAACTCTAACCGTCGGTGGCAACGGTTTCTACGTGGTAAGGGTGAGCTGCCCGCTGGAGAACACCGCTCTGCCTCCCTGGGTCGCAGGCCGGCCAGGCAGGAGGGGGACCTCGCCTGCTCCCGTCCCACTCCGGCCAGCCAGCAGTCGCTGTGCTCAGCCGGCGCTTACATCCAGTCACGGCCTCAGGAACCACTTAGAGTCGTGCAGCCACAGGTTTCTGTACAGGTACCCTAGCGTCTAACAAAGGAAAAAAACCAAAAAAACCCACTTATCAAAACGCTGTATATATTGCTCCATTAAACTTCCTTTTGCTCTATTTTTCCTTGGTCATTCGGTTGCACAGTGTTTCAAATAAAGAAGAGAGATTCAAAGCTGCAGTCAATGACACCAGAAAAAGTATTGTAAAAAAAAAAAAAATTAGGGTTTTTATACAGATAAATCTAAGGAACTATTAGGGAAAGCACACTACGTCTAACGTACATGCATTGTCCAGAGTAATTTATAACTTGAAAAGCTCTCTTCAAATTAATTAGAGAACACTTACCAAACATGTCCAGGATTTTATTAACAGCCTCTTGATTTACGTTGTAAGTGAATCCATTGGACCTACAGTTAAAAGAAAAAACCCTGCTTCTTCAGTGAATATTTCTTATTCCAGTCATGTCTATGCAAATAATCCGAATTAAACATTTTCATAATTACATCCTATTCTTCTTCCTACCAGCATACATATTAAATTTTAAGGACATGGCAGACTTCTAAGCAGATTGTACTCAAGGACACTTATAGTTTGTTTGTTTTCAATCATATAATTTTCAAGACTATCTCTCTGAAACTGAACCAAATGTTCAGCTAATGTCAAATTCTGTTGCACACAACTGATTTACTCCTTTTACTTGAAAGGGGAATTTAGGTACAGACATCTATTTAGCACAGTGACATGGCAGGGGACGTAACAACAACAACAACAGTACTTTGTGCACTTTCCAAGAGCACTACAAATCTTAACCAATTCATTTCCTGAACAGAGGCATAAGAAGATAGCTCAGAGCCATCAGCTGCCAACTATGTTCTGTGAAACGCTCAGACAATGTGGGGACTTGTTGCATCAGGGACTTCCATGGTTATACTTTTAAATACAGTACCACAACACAAATTAGTTTGATAACAGGAAATGCATGTCACCATATTTTTGTGTAACAATAGCTGGTTTTTAACCTTAGGCCTATAAACTATGAACTGCGTTAAAAGACTTTAATGACTAAGCTTTCAGTTAAATTGCGTTGAGATGTCAGTGCCGAACCCCCCCCCGCCAATTAGTAGTATCCTGATTATTGCTTACATTGCCTGATGAGGCTTATTGTAACACAGACAGTAATTCTTTGTTGTGGTTTAACCCAGCAGGCAGCTAACCACCACACAGACATTTGCTCACTCCCCCCCCACAGTGGGATGGGGGAGAGAATCGCAAAAAGAAAAAAAAAAAAAAAAAGAAAAAAAAAAGGTAAAATTCATGGGTTGAGATAAAGACAGTTTAATAGAACAGAAAGGGAAGGGAAAATAATAATAATAATGATAAAAAGATATACAAAATAAGTGATACACAATGCAATTGCTCACTAACTGCCGACCGATGCCCAGCCAGTTGCTCAGCAGCAATCGCTGCCCCCCGGCCAACTGCCCCCAGTTTACACGCTGAGCATGACATCATATGGTATGGAACACCCCTTTGGTCAGTTTGGGTCAGCTGTCCTGGCTGTGTCCCCTCCCAGCTTCTTGTGCACCTGGCAGAGCATGGGAAGCTGAAAAGTCCTTGACTAGTGTAAGCAGTACTTAGCAACAAGTATCAGTGTGTTATCAGCATTATTCTCATACTAAATCCAAAACGCAGCACTATGCCAGCTGCTAGAAGGAAAAAACAAATTAACTCTATCCCAGCCAAAACCAGGACACTCTTCTATTAAAAATAAGCAGGACTGTTCTCTTTGTTATCAAAGCCTTGGGAGAAACTTTGAAAACCAAAAGGTAAAGGGAGTCAGAAGCAGCCTATTAGTGAGTTGATGAATTTTGTTGCTGGGTCCCACAGGAGTGTTTTCACTATGAGGGGGTGCCACTCTGCTTCTACAACATGTACAGAAAGGAACTACCTGGGTCTTCACCACGACTCAGGTAAATCCAATCAACCTTCAGCTGACTGGTGCTCAGGCAGTCAGGGTTCTGCTGTTCTGCTTCATACTAATAGCTCACCGTTAAGAATTGCCACACACTGACTTCTATATACCAAAAAAGCCAACGTTACTTACATTTTCTTCTTCTTCACTGCACCTAGTTGCACAAGAGCTGCTAAGGCATTTTTCTGCATGTCAGAAGACAGCGCTTCATAACACTGCGTATTTCCTACAGAGAAAGCAGAAACACAATTAAGAGTTTTATCACGGTCCATTAACAGGCTACACTTGCAAAATCATATTGCTTAATGGCTGTACACACCCTTCTCAAGAAGTTGAAAAACAAAGTTGCGGACTCCAGGTATAAACTGCTTCTCAGTAAAGGCTTCTCTTGTTTCCTTTGAGAGGTATCTGAAAATTAACTAACATTTTTACAAAAATTAGTGCTTCTTTCCTTTTGATTGTCAGCTTGTTATGAATTACAAACAGATGTGTTCTCGTAAGTAATACTGTTACATTGAAAAGCGTAGCAGGGGAACTCAAAAGGTATCATTACACAGAGCATCTGAAATTTTTATTACTGTTTAACAGGCATGAGAATCCTAACATTAAAATAAGATTCAGTATTACTATAATAGTTACCTTACACACTAATTTAACATTCCTGTTCTCACAATCAAAAACAGTATGATTTTTTTTTAAAGCAATACCTGTTTTACAGATGGGAAAAACTGGGCAAATCAGTACAGTTCAGCCCGTCGTACACCAGATCATTAACAGACTCCACTAGGTTCAAACATGTACAGTCCCACCAATCTTATGCTGACATACCTGAGATTTTAGCCTCCTGTTTTTGTATACAGTTTATTATAGGCATGTAAGTGTCTAGTCTTATTAAAACCTTGGAAAACCAGAAGAATTTAAAGAGATATGGATGCAGTTAAGGACTCCAAAAAAAGCTATCAGAGGCGAGATGCAATTCATTTCTGCACCTGGCAGGACATCTCACATAAAATGAATTAAGCAAGAGTTCCTCATAAGAAAAGAACAATTAATCCTGGTAGCAGGACACTCCCCAGGAAGTTTATAAACACACAACAGGCCACCACATTACAAAGTAGTTACTGCTTTAGTCAATTGGAAAAGTCTGAGCCAAAAGCTGAAATCAGGATCCCAGGTGGGAGGGTGACATTTAAGATATTTATTACTGCCATTTCTCAACTCTTGCACTCCCCAGCTGTAAAAACAGTCACTATTTATACTGCAGAAGTATCACAGCTCTCCTAGTTTCCCTATAAAACACAGGAGAAAAAAGAAAATTTTCTTGAGAACAACATACCTGATAACCTTCCACAAAAGGTCTGAACACAGCTGACAAGAAAGACACTATAACACTTCCTTTGTCGGTAGGGTAGATTTCCTGTTGACTTGTTTGAATGGCATCGCATTTTGTGAGTAGAAAACATCCTTCCTCAAAATCCTGGGAGAGAGAAGCATAACTGAAATTTTAACATCTATGGTAAGCGCAGCTACCTTCCCCCACAAAATCAACAATAAAAACCACACAACAGGACACCACTTCCATTTCCGAACTCAGTTCTCAAGAGACTCGAACCAAAATTTTCCTGTATACTAGAAATACCCTTATAAAAAGGCAGCAGGAACATGTTCTTAAACACAGCAGTATCTCGATGCACAACAGGCCTAGGAGCAAAGGAAGCAGCTGTGGCTGCTATTGTAACAGCCAGCCTGAGCTCCCTTGGGATTTTGTCAGAACAGGGTCAGGTTGTCTGGTTTAGGGTTTTTTCTGTGGGTATTTTTTATTATTTATTTTTAAAGTCAGGGTTTGCCTTTATCTTGTGTCCACTGTTTGCAATAAACGATAACATAGTTCACTGACCTGGCCTCTACAAAAGAGCCAAGACAATGGCCAAAAGCTACAAATTATGGAAATGTCAATGACAAAACCATTTTACTGCCAATATTGGTATAAGGGGGAGTGGACACAGGACATACACAGAGAACACGAGGGGATGGGACACAGGCATGACAGACACATGGATGACTAGAGGGGTGGGTTGCACAGAGATCCCTTAACATTATAGCAACTCTTTCGAGTGCAGTAAAGTCAGTCATAGCCAGTCACCTTCCTGTTCCCTGCTTGGTTTTGGTACTCAAAAAAAGCTGCAAGAGGCAACAATTGCTAACAGTGAAAACTTAACATAATGGTGCCAATCAGCCTTTTAAAAACGGCCCAATTCTCTTCTGTATAAAAATATATGAGGTTTTAATATAGTTGCAAGTCTTGAATATTCTTATGAAAATTATACTTACCTCTCTTTTTAATGCAGGAAAGGTCACAAATATCACCATCAGATATTTGGCCTTATCATTGATAAAAATCACATTTAATCAGTTTTAAATCCACATAAAAACTACACGTGGACTTACAAGTTTATATTGGGTATGACGTTGAACCAGTTCTTTTACTAATAAACTTGTGCTGAGCTGCATTTCAAGCTGGCTGTACTAGAGCCAGCTCCGACCCAGCAGGATGTATACAAACTGACACAGCAAGTCCTGCAGAGAGCAAAGCGCTGCCCACAGTTTTCACAGCTTGGCTGTGTCCAGCTGTTTTAGGAGAGCACACAGACATACTGGGCCCTGTAATAAGGCAGTATGCAGGAACAATACTGGCTTTGTCTGAGACATGGCTGTATGAGGTGGGGGGTGAAATGAGAGGAAACTCTTTTCAAGCAAATAGGATGCAACTAAAGCTTCCATAAGACTCTACAAGGAGCACTGTTACACCATTAGGAACGTTCTCACTTCAAAAACCTTCAACAGGCTGCATCGCCTCAACTCTGTAGAAGATTTTGGCTGCAGAAATTTAAATCCGGCTTTACTATAAGCACTTCCCTCATAGTGCTCGCAATGTACTATCTGAATCTACACAAGGTAAGTGCCAATAATAAAAAGCTGAAAGGGCTCAACCATGAACCATCAAAATATTAAAAAAAAAGTTTACTAATGCACAGGAACATCAAAACCTTCAGAGTTCAAGGTATAAGAGGAACATTAGCCGTTGTATAAACACTACAGAGTAGATACTGCCAGGCTGCGCAGGCAAGGAGAGGTGGGTACAGAGGTGTACTTTAACAGATGAGGCACTGGGTGTTGGCACAGTCCTCTGGTAGCCCTCCCACCACAGACCACACGCATGGAGCTACACAAAACAACTGATCACAGCTGTACTGGAAGGAGTATCATCAACCAGAGGAGAATAGGTACTTATATTTAGAATTGCATACTCTATTTAGCAGAGATAACAAGGGTATACAATGGTTGATCATTAATTGCTATAATACCTATAGTTTAACTTTCTGAAAGAGCAGGAGTGCCCCTCTGCTCCACAGGCTGCAAGAGCTTTTAGGAAAAATTATCCTGGTGTACCCTCAATGAGAATTCTTGTTTTGTTTCTCCACTGACAGAACATACCCACTCTGTGATAGAATTCAATTAAATCTACATTAACACTTTTTTCTTCACAGCCTAAGGTCTCTTTCATAAGTGTAAATACAGGCCTCTTGCTCTGCAGTTCATTTAAACGACTGCTTTACATATAGTTTTATATCCATGCTGGAAGACTGGTAGCTCTATGCAAAAAAGCCAAACTTCTGCTACAGTTCATTTTAATAGTTCAGAATTGGGCAATTTCAGGATTTTTAGTTTTTTACTGGAAGGGGGGCTGAAGATTGCATATGCAACCTTGTGGATTCAGACAATATTTGGAACTAACCAAATGACCCGCTTTCATGTTCTCCCTCCCGCTTACAGATCAAGTTGATATCGCTGTAGGTGTTTATCACAAAGCACTTGTTTGGCAGAGCCCTGAAGTCAGATGCTAGCTGGCTGTGTTACTATCCGTATTTTTGTATAAAGTACATTTTTACCTTCAATGAAATGCCAGGAAAGAAGATGAACTCATCAGAAAACACATCTCTCAAGAAGCTGAAGCAGCTATAGACTTCCTCTGAAAAAAATATTGTACTGTTGTTTAAAAACATAATTTAAAATATGCAAGTGAAAAGCCATTTACTCCTTAGAGAGAGTACCTACTTCAAATAAAATTTGGACTTGACATTAAAAGCATACATACACATGCAGCAGAAACCACCACAACAGAACAGCAAGTACTCAAAGCTATTGATTAAATCGTTACCAAAAGGAAAGAGCAGGGGGTTGTAGCTTCTCAGAATGTGCATTAAGTACCACATAATCAGATGCTGCACAAAACTAAGGCATGTATTCTGCAAAGTTTAAGAGCCAAGTATTGGAAAACACTGAACAACTTCAGAAGCAGTAGTGGGAAGAGAAGACAGACCGAGAACTGGCTGTACTGTATGCAAGTGTGAGCTGTGTGTAATTTGTAACCTAAAAAGCTGGTCTGCTAAATGCCAACAAAATAAGACACTTAGGAACCGGGCTCAGCTCATCTTAACCCTGCCCTCTCAGCAGAATACACCTACTTTCAAAAGTATCAAAGGGTAAACAAACAAAAAAGGCAAGCAAAATACCCCCGTCCCCTCCCAACACATCCACCTTATGCCATGGGACCTTATCCAGAATATAACAGTCTCGGATAGCTCCCACTAGCAGTCACAGGAACCTTGTGCTCCTCTCACAGCTGACAGCACAAGGAGCAAAGGCAGCAGGCTCTCAGAGCTACCCAAACATACCTTTTCTGAAGCTGTGTGTCATCTGCAAGGCAACTGCCACCAGAGATGGACGCACAAACACATTCAGCAGCTGGTTTCTGTAGGTGGCACACATGAGGATGGCCAGAGCGCGCTTAAAGACAATTTCCCCTATGGCTCCATCTTCCACTCTGTCATTTAGGACCACCTGGCCATCAACAAGGTGAGCGATGTTGGAATGCAGGGTGAGGCCAGACAGAACTGCCTTTTTGGCACACAGGTTATCTAGCAGGAAAATGCAACACTCAAGAAGATGCAAAAGGGAACACAACTCCACTGAAACAGCCTAAAATGTATTTAAATTAAACAGCATTTAATTAAATTTTATCACTGAAGACAAATTATTACACCAAACATTCAGTTAGAGAGATGTTCTAAAATAATCCATACCAGAAATTGGCAGCCTAGGCATAGTGTGAGATGGAGAGAACAAATTTCAGACATTTCTGTAATGAAAGCACTTTAAATTCTTCCACTTGCTAAGAATGACAAATACTTCCTTTGTCTCTGGCACAAGTATTCTGAGCCTCCAAATAAAAGAGATAGATCTGTTTGATGGATACATCCATCAGTAAGGAAACAGAGACCATACTTTTGCTTAGGCATTTCTGACACTACAAGTTTTGAATCAGATGCACAAGTCTATGTTTTTCCTCAACTCTCATATACAAGGAAGGCCTCATACCGAATTAAGTTTAAAGGAATCCTAACATAAGTACCATTACATAGTATACCTCTCAAAAAGAAACCAGACTGTACTTGCATCCAAATCTCTTCTTGTTTTGCAATACAATCCTTTTAAAATGCCTAAAGCAAGGAAGTCTGTGGGTTTGGGTTTGGTTTGTTTTTTTTTTTTAAACAACAAAGTTCTTCAAAGGCAGGCATGGGTTTCACAAACCTGTGGGCTTTAGTCAAGCTTTTTTGTCAGTATGGCACACCACAAACTTTATCCGAATAAAGAGCAGCATCTCAGGTCTTGAAAATAAGATCACCTTTTTAGAATACCTTACACTTTAAACACTACCAAAACATCCCGTGCACCAAATGTGAACTCTTTGACAAGCAAGGAAAGAAGCAATAAAAACTTCTTACTGAACACTAAAATACACTTTACATGTTCACAACACCAGAAGCATATCAAATCAATATAGCCTCTAACAGAAAAAAAGAAAAAAATTCCTATTCTTTCCCCCTTAACATAGGTTTCACGTAGAATCTTCTTGCATCTTATTTGCTCCTTCAGCCTACTTTGTTCAAGTTTTGCTAAAGCTCCCAAGTTTCTCAATGCAATAAGAAGCAGAAGACTGAGCAAGTCATTTCGCAGTTCCTGTTTTTAATATAAAATTTCTAACAGCCAAGCAAATTTCTCCCTGTAACAACCAACCAGCATGACAAAGGCAGAAACAACTAGCTGTTTGGAGACAGAAGAACAGACAGGGTACATGTAGTTGCTGACATGGTGACATCACCAAACTAGCCTTTAAAATATATCTATCCTTTCAAATTATTGACAATCCAAAACAAAACAACAAACCCTGTTTCTATGCAACTGATGCCTAGACTGGGGCCAGCACACTCCAACAAAACCTGCTCAGTTGTCATTCCTCTCTTTCATTACCATGCCTATTTTGCCATTCCCTGACTACATCACAACTATACTAAAGCAAAAGCTTATTCATTGTTGCTAAAATAATAAACAAAATAAGCAAACAAACCCAAATGTGGTATGTTTTTCAGTTTACTGTACAGTAAGATTGTAAATGATGTTTAAATATTGCCATGCAGTTCTTCCTTTTACCAGTCTGGCAGGAGCAGACCTTGTCTGCATTCACTGCAGTGCAGGTCCCTGAAAGGAAAAGTGATTTTCTTCCAGAAATGACGGAGCTCCGTTATAACTGTAGCCTGCTCCTATTTCTTTATTGCAGTATTGAGAGGGATCCTGAATTATACACGACTACAAAAGCAAAGATCCATGGTTTAAGCCTACCTACAGTGAAAAGGTAGATGTACTTGCATTACACATCATTTTTCTTTGCTAGCTTTACCACTTAGTCCTGAGGCTCTAAAAGTAACTACCTGTGTCACTTTGGCTCACAGAGAGAAGTTTAAAACAACTGTTCAGAAAGTTTGGAAGGAGAATCAATCTTTCAGCAGCCAATATGTACATACACATTATATATATATAAAAAAGAGAGCATGTGTGTATAAATATATAAATAAAACCACCAAAGAAGCCTTCTCCCCAGAAGTCATCACTGTTTCTGGGGATGAAGTGAAATTTAAAAATAAATAAGACAACTTACAATTTTGATTTTCTCTCACCCATTTGTTCCTACTGGTTCTTTGACACAGTAACAACTTTGACTATAGTCAATATCAAGCAATAAACACAGCATTACACCAAATTGACTACTGCAGATCAGGTAATTGCCTGTGACTTACATAGGGTTCAGAAAGATAGATACTAGGCAAATCTCAGTACTCTAATACAAGTATCTTATAATTTCCCCCTCATTCCACACTTCAGGATATAACAGTAAAGTATCTGTTCTACTTCCACCTAACTGTTTTTCAAAGTATTATCTTATACAGGCTAAGTCAAAACCTATCAGGTTTTAGCATCATTTTTAGCATATCCTAAAATCCATTTCCAACTCTGAGGAAAACATTCTGTAAAATTGTCACCATACACTGCTTCCACAGAAATACAATTTATTCTTCATAAGCAAAAAAAGGACTAGAGAGAACACTTTCTCTGCATACCAGGCCATTCAATGAATCCTCCAAAAATCTGTGTTAAGCCTTTAAGCCACAGGGTCTTTTCTAACAGAAGTTCAAAATCCATGGCTGGCAAATTCTGGAGCAGGACAGCAGCAACTAGCACCCATGGGCTCAAAACCATGTTTTCTATTTGCAGGAGCTCCATTTTATAAGCTACGTCACTGACAAATTCTTGGATATCCTCAGATGGCTTTTGGGGAAGGTGCCTGAAAAGAACAATGCAGTTCAAGGTAAAGAGCTCCAAAAATTGGAATATATATCATACCCTTATTTCTTCTGTATTGCTCCCAGATCCGTAACTACTTTATAGCACCTAACATCTGGAGGGTGATTCTATTTGTGTGCTATGTAGAACAGAAGTACAGAGCAAAACATCAGTAGCTTCATGACAGTATTTGAAACGCAGATCTCTATTGATGCTGTACGCTTGCTATCTTAAAAAAAAATTCAAAAGCATTATGTTTTATACAACAAATTGCAAAAGCCACCCAATCCAGTCCAGCTCACCCATCCACTGCAGCTCCCTGGCACATGATCACATAACAGTTTGCAGTAATAAAGCAAGAAGGGAGGGGAAGGTGGAATTTTTAAGTTACAATAACACCGAATTCTCAGAAAACAGAGCTTTGTCTGGCTCATGTATCACCATGAATTTTTAAAATGGCATCTTCCCGACACAGTACAAAGCTATGCAAGTAACAACCTGTTTCAGAAACACCCAATCACAAGCATGATAAGCCTCTGCTCAGACAAAACAGGTTCAGCTGTCTAAATAGTCAGGTGGAGGGGAGATGACAGAAGTGGAAAACAAAGTATAAGAGAACATATTAATTATTTTACAGAGGTGAGGACTAAACAAATGCTTTTCCTGTGCATACACCATGGAAAGATGTGGTACCTGGGAACCAAATTGTATGGGCACCGACTGATTCTCCCAGATGCCAAGGTTCTAAGTGATACCGGCTGGCCAACGTAGATGTGTATGGTACCAAAATTGTCACTGAGGATTCTTCTGGCTTTTAACAACCCCTAAGAAAACAGGAAGAGCAAAACTCAAATTTTGGTGCTACAGGGTGTGTACACATCCACCTATGTTCTGTTCTTAAGGAATTTACATACAGATGTAGATTCTTTGGGCTTTGGGACTCCTAGGAGTTCATATGCATAGAGAGATTCTTCTAATATCCTCTCGTAGCTGATGCTGATGGGAACAAGGTATGTGTCAAAGACTTCACGTTTAAAAAATGGTTCCATCACAATGCTGAGAAGACCTGCAAATTAAAAAAAAATTTAAAAAAAGAAAAAAAAAGTGACTCACCTGTCTTTTTTGAGAAGGGAAAAGCAACTGCAATTTAACTTTGAAAAAGGTATCTTCAGATTTTAGAAACTGCTAATATGCGTACATTGTGCTTGTTCTCCCTTCAAGCAAGCAGAAGCGCAAGACCTTGCCCAAGCTTTAAAACAGAAGCTAAATTTAAACAATGCCTTTGGACAACTATTTGTGCTCTTTTCAACAGCACTGCTCTGCGGTCGCACAGCATCTTCCTTCTAAAGATTCCCCATTACTTTTACAGTTAGCTTACAATATTTCTCTGCTGGTAAGGGGACGCCTATTTTCTAGAAAGAAAATGGGGAAGAGTTACGCAATGAAGTACACAATAGGGCAAAGGGAGAGAAAGCAGTAGAGCGCAAGAGACGTGCATTGCCGTTCTTTGTATGGCTTAGGAACTCTAATCATAGTGTTTTCCACTACTCTGACAGACCTCACCAATTTCCCACCACTTTAACATCCCTTCCTGTCTGAAGAACTTACGAAGCACATAGCCACTAATGAAAACACTAATAATCGTAAAAAGTTCCAAGTTTTCAACAAACCTACCAAACTTTGGAGTCAGAGTCTTGGCAGTGCGGCTTCTAGTCCCTTCAAGAAAAAATTCAATTGGGGCATAGCCACTCTTCAAAAGTAAAACAGCAACAAAAAAAGCTGGTCAGAAAAATAAAACCGTTTCTTCTTTACTGCCCGCAAATAGTTTTAAGTACTTCAAATGTAAGTAAGTTTTTTTAATGGAAGCCATGCATATCTAACTTCAGTCATCTCTAAGCCTATGTTCATCCATTGTATCTGGCACACCGTAACTTAAATTAATGAAAATATTGTGTCTGTCATGAGATATGGGCACATGATTCAAAGCAACTGATGAGTAACAATTTGTTTACCACCTACTGCTGAACTATAATAACAGAGTATACGCATGCTCTTCACCTACAGCAATTCTGTGGTAAAACGCATTTACTCAGGTCACAGGGAAGACTCAATCACATAGCTATAACATCGTGCATATTTCACATGAATTGTTCCAGCAGAGTATTTCTTAAGCATACATTTTGAGAGCTCAGTAATTTATTTACCCTTAACATTGTTTTTACATATTCAGCAAACACTGCCCAGTAGAGTCTGTTCCCACCGAAGGAACGTCGCATAAAAAAGGCACCTGCCCTTCGTAGCAGCTCACCAACTATTTTCATTCCTAGGAAATCTGAAAAACAATCAAACAAAAAACAAAACCGCACACACAAAGCTTATTGATTGATATCAGCCAGCAAAATCAACTATGTTCTCTAATACACTGAATCAATTACGAGAATAAAGATGACCTCTTTCAAGGATTCTGTTGTTGCAAATACCTTTATTTGCTTTCAGATTGTCTAGCAAGACTTTTGTCGACATGAATGGCATATTATAATACACTTTCAGTTTTTTTTTTTTTTTTGTAAGCAGCATTCACTTAGAGCAATTTATTTTCGTAATTTAGATGGCCAGATTTCAACCATAATAAAGACTAAGTTTTTGAAGGACATTGTCTCACTCATCTTCAGAAAGATCAGTTACCACTTGTATCCTAGAAGACACAGAAATTAACTGACCAATTACACTACATTATACCATTTATGATCTGACTCATCACTTCGGGAGGTGTACACCAAACCAGCTAAAATTTTTTATAGTTTTCTAGGTTTAAGCAATGATGGTCAACTTATCAAAACCAGGAACACTTAGCGTTAACAAATTTCTTAGGGAAGCATTTCAAACAAGTCTACACAGCAGCTGGCCATGTGCTGCTTCAACCTCCTTGCCACCTCAATCCATGAAACACTTGAGAACGATATTCACTCAGTAACATAAATTCACATTTCCAGCTGCAACACTGACAATGACTGCCTTGAAGATGTCATGTAATATGTCACACACACACACACATGTGAGAGAGATATATGTATCTTCCTCTAAGAAAAAAATAGATAAAAGGAAATTGGATACAGGGCCCTGGGCAGCAATAGCAGCTGTCAGAGCTTCCCATGTGCAGAGGTCCATCTTTTTCCCTTACTCTCCTACTACCCTCCCTGTCTCATCACAACACAGACTCTATCCCCTCCCTCACTTCCACCCTCCTGCTGCATACTCAACCCCCTAACCAGGATGCTGGCTGCACAGCCAACGCCTCTCCCCATCACACACTGCCGCCCCACAAACTGGGACTGAAATGTATCCTTTCACATACCTCAAGCCCACACCACCTCACTAGCTCTATGCCTCTAATATGACCTTTTCCCAAGACCTGAGACAGAAACACAATCCCAGCACCAGTTAGATTCCCACTAATGTTCTGTATGAGCATGTACTCTGGTGCTACTGGCAACTGTTTACCTTCCCTTAGCTAATCCCCATAGATCTGTATGCTGTTTGAAGCCAAGCGATAACTAACAAAGCAGAGGCACTTACCACCTATAACAGGACAGTGTCTCTCCACTCAGCACAAGTACCACTTTGAGGGTGACTTTGTAAACTGCATCCCATGAACCTCTAAACACAATATGAAGTAAATACAACTACAACCATAGAGAAGTGTGCTTTCTCCAGAGGAATTTAAAATAACACACACATGCAGCAGTATAATCAAGCTGCAAGCCCCTAATTCCGAAGAATTTTGACCCCCAAACACTTAAAAAATGTTAATCACTAAAAAAATCCCTCTAAGCTAAACTAATAGTATCTTAAGATAATGTTTTGAGGCCCAGAACTCAAAAAGGCTCTAATCCATAAGTCAGCAACGGATTACACTGATACCTATGACAGCACGTGAGCAGATTCTGAACAACACATGGCTGCACCACCTTGATCAAGGCCGCTATGAGACATCAACTTCTGAATTCACCAGAATCTAACCTGCCTCTCCCAGAAGCAAGACACTACCAACTTGAAGACCAGCAGAATCTCGTCTTCCCTAGCAAGCACACTCTCCCAGCTTCTTCTGATTTTCTACTGGTCCTCCTAACATCTTGATTGGAAAAAATAGACTACAGTAGAGCAGTAGGTTCCCAGATCTTTGCTAGCTTGCCTGTGCACATTACAGCACTGCACCAGACCTGAGGTTGTTGTCTGCCTGCTTAGAAGACTGGGTTGATACCCAAGACTTCCAAGATCAGGTTTCTCAGTTAAGTGCTGCCAGAGTCTGGATTTTCAAAAAGTACATTAACTCAGAAGATATTTACTGTTAAAGTCTTCAAGAATTGTTTCCTGCAAATATACTGGCTTCATCTGTTTTAAAATTAGAATCTCCAAAATCGTGACCTCTGATGTGAAATTTTGTTTCCCAGCCAGCTCTGCTCTCAGCACTTCACATAACAGAGTTCTGCCAATGCTTCAAGGGAATCAGTGGCATCAGCAACAAGCACAAGGTGGCTGGCACTTCCTATCTGGCTACTATGACTGCACTTAAAACTGTATAAAGTATCACAAAAGGTTCTGCATACACAGCAGCTCTTTGTCAAGTTTTCACCTGTCCCCAGGCAAAAAAAAGCAATATAGAAGTCTTCTTTACAACATCTATCTTTGCCCCTGTCTTGGGTCTACAGATGGAGTACTTCTGGGCGAATCTGCTATGAAAAAATTAACCTTTGATTGGACTCAGCACCGATGAGAAGCTTTCAGACGCTGTAAGCATCTCACCCAAGGAGGTTTTAACCAGACATGTTTGGAAGAGAAGTTAAACACAACTACTTACAGTAGCAGCTACAGGACCCCTTGCTACCGATTCTCTGAATCCTGAAAACATTGTTGAAAGAACATACTTGCCTATTCCTGCAGCAATGACAGGCAAAGCCAAGTCATATGTATATAGCAAATAAGACAGCATCAAAAAGTCTACATAGCTTCGGTGACTGGGCAGCAGTACAACTGGATGCTCCTGAATGGCATGTTGCAACTGAAAAAAAAAAAAAAACAAAAAAACCAAACCAGCACAAACAATATTGTTCTAATATTTACAGACTGACTGTTGAAATTTGCAAATACAGATCTTCACAGGGCTTAAGGCAAACAGAAGCCGATTTGTTTGAGGGTGGTTTCTCTGCTCACGTACTCTATACCTTTTTCAGCATGGAACCACAGGAAATTTGGAGCAGTAGTTTCCAGACCAGCAACCTGTGGTTTGCAAGCATCACAGGACTCAAAAGCCAGGGCCACCTCATTATGTGATAGTCTAATTCAAATCCCTTTTGATGGGGATGGGAAACCCAACAGGGGCTGGAAGGGCTGACATTGCTGTCTTCCAGGCAATGCACTGCACCCTCCAGAACAGTGGCATCCTGCAATGAAACAGGGGGACAACAGCTCCCCAGGGAACTGGGGCAAACTTAAAGCATCTCCTGCCTCAGAGGTGCGCAGTGTTTCACCACTCTTAGCTGTACAAAGGTTTTGCAGAACCGCCAGCCCACTCAGCCACATAACATTAGGTTTTCACCCCCAGTTCAGCTAAATGCGTTATTAAATTTATAATACGAGATAAAAAAAACTCTCTCAGTGGCTAACAGAATCACTGACACATGACTGCAAGTACTCCTTACCATAGGAAGCATTTGGAAAATGTACAAAAAGTTCTGCTGACAGTTTGCCCCTAAAGTACTTATATATCATCTATCTTCCCGCCCCACACACACTTATTAAGAAATGCAGTAATAAACACAAGTGCAGTCTTGGTTTTTTTAAATGGTATTTTTTGTATTTGTTACTTGGATCGAAGATTAGAGTCTTTGTCCCAGTGACTGATATGAAAATATTGTAACTTTTTTTCCCCCCACCAGTACTTACTCTCTGCATTCCTTCTTCATTCACACAAACTCTCTGGAAAAGCCGTTTAAATATTTTACTCAGAGTAAAAGCAAAAAATCTGACAGCTCCTAATTGCATACTGTGGCCCATCTCATCCAGGATTTCCGTGGCTTCTTCTTGAATAATATCAGGTGACTCTCCCACCTCTTTTGCTAACTAAAGAGAAACAGAACAAACAAAATAGCAGTCAGATGTTATTCCCTTCTCCTTGCCCATGCACACCATTCTATGTACCACAATTATGGCAGAACTACTATGGCTGACTACTGCAACAGTCAGCAAGATTTTGTTTTATGTGATAGGCATGCATCTAATCTTACAGAATCTGTTCTGTGTCAGCCAACAAGAAAAAGCCAAGTAAAAGCTGTTCAAAAATCAAGACTGAGCTTAGATGTCAATGGCGGGGGAGAGGGTGTGCAACAATTCCTGCCCCCCCACCCCCAAACCACACCATCTGAATGTTTTAATCTGTAGCATCTTCAGAGGAGATTTAAGTTTGAAGAACATTTCCTATTGGTCTGAAGAAGGCTATGTACAATTTTCTAGTAAAATGAAACCTATGTTTGCAGAGATATTCACAACATAAATCTTTGAAGTGCATTTGGGTTAGATTTTAAGACTTGGCTGAAGAACCTCAGCCCTGTCACTCCTGAATTTCTTTGCAATGTATTACTTTGGCAATGGGTAGCTGAAATGCATACAAAGCACTGTCTCTACCAACTTAGCATATCAATGATCTTTTTTCCTATCGCTATGCACATTGCATTTTGCAGTTTCTTAGAACAGACTTAAATAATGGTCGTCTCTCCTATTTGGTACTATGAATCTAGAAATATTTAATTGAAAAGTTAGTCTTTTACTGCTATGGAATGAGGAACATGCCTTTCACTGAACACAGAGGAGGGAAGAGGAGGAATGGCAGAAGAAAAAGCCTCCAAAAAAGCATGGTTCTGCTTAGAGGCCAGCACTGCTTACATATTATTTCTTTTTTGTGACATATGAGAAAATCCACCTCCTCATACCACCTTACTATCATATCTACTGTTTCAATTGTGTTTTAATAAATGCATTATCCTTCATCTTGTGTACTTCCACATGTAGACATAACTGATTATTTTAACCACTTAAAGAGCCAAAAACTGCTTCCACTTGAGCCTGAGAAAAATCAATCTCTCTTAGGAAGCCAAAAAATTATTCTTGTTATTCGCTAGGGAAAGTGTTCTCATTCACCAGTAAAAGGCTCACCACACAGTTGATCCTGTGTGAATTAAGTGCACATCCACTATAAAACTAGGCATTTACTCCCCAAAAATCAGGAATCAAAAAACCAGACCAATCACATATAGCAAGCTAAAACAAACAAATACACTTCATTTCACATACTGAACATTAGTAACCTCAGCAATTTGTCACAAGAACAAATCGTAGTATGCCTGTGTAAAGCTGTGTAAACTCTGCCCAGACAGGAGGCACACTAATCGTAGATCGTTAGGCATATTGCCCAAGACAGTCCCAGTTAGATACCTTCTGTAATCCATAGTGCAAAGGTGATAACTAGGTTGCAATGGCAGAACTGCTAACCCCTTTCAATCACTTGACGCTAGCTGGGAAAATATCCATCAACATCATTTTCCATCAAAAAAGCAGCACTTCAGAAGAAAACATCACACAAATGTCTTTCTGTCAAATCCTCTGTAAAATATTTTCTTTCAATAAATATTTTAGTATTTCTAGAGTTGAAAGATTCAATTTTTTTTTATTTCATACTACTTAGCAATTCATGATGGCAAGAGGACTACTTTGTAGGACATGGTTTAGTTTGTCACATCATAAGAAGTTTTGATATCTCATAAGTAACATTGACCATTAAAAAAAATAGAAAAATTTTATGGTAGCCACTCACTCAGGACTAACCAAAACATCTTATATACTTCTGTTGGCCTGGAATTATTTTTCATGAATACTGAAAATAGTTACTCTGCTAACTAAACACACACACTCTTATTTCAGCCATTTCAACACAGCATAAAATACGAGCCAGTTTGAATATAAAATATTTCATTCATTACAAAGTAGTAGCTGCCCTTCATCTTAAAACAAAAATATGGTTACATCTTAGACAGTGTTTCTAATTCAAAGAATTCTCTATGAAATATACTCTTACTTTAGGGAATGTAGCATTTATGATGGATTCATAAATAAGTCACTAGCCTATAAAATTCCTACAAGACATCCACAAAGTACAAAAACGCCTACTAAGAAGGAGAGTGCTTATGCCTTTCACAATGCTGCTCTCTGACAAGGGGGGGGGGGGAATGTAGTCAAGCACATCAGATAAGTTAGATGGTAAAGTGTCATATATGCAAAATCAAAACACCATTTCATGAATGAGCTATCCAACAGCTTTAGTGGCAACTCCATGGTAAATCAGTACTTGTTTTTCCTGCCAACAGAGTACAGCTTTCAAGTTACTGATTTATTGGACCATCTTTCAAACTACAGCTATCGTGTCTGATAAGGTCAGCAATAATCTTTTTTCCCTGCTGCTACACAAAGTTTGGCTGTGTTCAGTCTGCCTTGTCTTACAGCTCAGTACCCAGCCTCACCTGCTTGATAACATACTGAACTTGCTCTGACTGGAGAACAGCACTTTTAATATCGTTTGGCTTGCAAGGTGAAAGTCCCTTGTAGATCACAGGAGTATAACATTTCATCGCATATCTCAAGTCACTGGACAATCTTCTTTCCTCCAAGATATCTTCAAACTCATCTCTTTTCTTTGACGTGAGCTCTTTCTGCTGGGAACATACAAATAAAGAATGAGATGCTGTCTCGAGCCATTCAGTGGTCTGCTTGGCTACAGTACCAAAATAATGGCACGCAATACTTTTGCAATGTTTGGGGGTTTTTTTTTAAGCTTTCTGTAGTGTCTCCATTATGCATTACCTGCTTGGAACAATGCTGCAAATAGAAAGAAACTAAAAAGAAAAAAAAAAACCACAACCCCCAACAAAAAACCTCAACCATTTCCATCTGCAAAGATCCCCAAAGCACCCTATGCCACATTACTTAATTCTGCCCAACAGGAAGAAGCTGAGAGAACACTTGGGCTGTGAAAGCTAAAGTGCCTTGCCTCCAGCCTTTCCATGAGTAATAGGTATTAACTAAAACACCTTTGATTCCAACTCTTGCAGCTGCATGAAGACAATGCCATGAATGACATTATAAACATGCAATCATCCCCACAAAAAAATAATCCTTGTACTTTAAGCTGCATCTGGGACCTTGGTAATTTGTGCTGGCTTTTCAATCAAGCTTGGACACAGGGTACATAAACCACGGCCAGGCAGGAACAAACCAAAAAAACCACTATCGGCCACATGAAGATCAAAAATGCAGTACAGTGCACACACAGGTAAAAAAGAGAGCACAGCCTGTGAGTAACCAATACCACTGCTAAGCAGGAAAACAAATGGTATGCCAAGAACTAATTGCGGATCCGTCCTGCTGCAGAAAATCTCAATGACGAAACTCTTCCCCTCGAGTCAGTAGGCATCCCCTGGGCTGAAGAGAGATGTCTCCTATTACACCACAGTTTGTATGAATGACCCCTCAGTCTTTCCAAAACTGAAATTGTATTTCTCTAAACTTCAAAACAGCAGCAGTAGCTACCAGACAAGCAAGGTAACTGGAGTAAGCCTCTGTGAAACACAAATGTAAAAGTATTGGTTATAAGCAAGCATATTTATTAGAAGATGCTAAAATAAAAATGCTTACGTCTTCCTTTACAGCACCACTTGAAGGGTACCACAGGCATCACTTTCATTCATTCTGCCTCCTCTCCCTATATGCAACCTGTGCAGAACCAGTCTGGTAATGAAGGATAAAACATGTTGTTTCATGGGCTCCTACAGTGACCTTTTCTGGTGTTGAGAGGAAAGCCTGGCCAGCAAGTACAGGGAGAACACCAGGAACAGAGAAGCAAAATGCCCAGCAGTGGTGGCTGAGTTTTCAACCTTGGGAGAGGGAGTCCGGTTTCACTACCAGCTGACCACAGCCACATCAGCAACACTATCAAAACAAGCTGACATTTAAAGTAAGTAGAGAGCAAACATTTAATTCCTGTCCATTGATCAACATAAGATAATTTGGCAAAACAAAACAAAAAAAACCCAAACCAGGAATATCGCTACTTAAGAACCACAAAAAAATCCTTCAAAGCCTCAACTGCATTGAAAGCCAATTTCATTTTGTCAGAGAACACAAATTGCACTATAATGTTTGACCTTCTCATTCTTTCCCCCACACAGTACAGTCAAATTTGAATGCCATCCTCCTACTACAGTAGCATTTGGTAGATCATTTAACTTCTCTCTCCACTATTGTAAGTTTAGAGAATTGTCCCACAGTAACTGCAGAACCAACTCTCCAGGGACTTTTAAAACAATCCTATACAATGTATTAAACCCAGGCTCATATTCATTTAAAAGTTCCAGGGTTTTTTTGCCTGTATGGTTTAGCATTACAGTTTTCAATCTTTCTTCTTCCACAGCTTTCAACTAGTTGGTGTTTTGCAAGAGCCAAGTAAGCTAAGAACTGTTAAGAAGACTGGAAATAATTTGTATTAGCCATTTGTTGCCATTGACACCTTGTAGCAAGCCCTTTGATTAAACATGAAACAGAAAAAAAAACATACCCTGTAACAGCAAAAAAGATAGCATCAGAAAATATTAGTTGGCTCTAAGTATACACCTACTTAGATCAGTACGTGCCAAGTCATTGCTCAGAAAATCTAAGCAACTTTCATTTCAGTTACCAAAGTTTAAATCCTGCAACATGCAACTACACAAAAGCCAGATCAAGAAAGCCAGCGCTCAGCTCGGGTATCATCAGCTGCATCAGCAGTCACTGCACTGCTACAGCCATTCCCCAGCACACCTCTGGTGAGCAGAGTTTTGCAAAGGCCACGACCAATTGAAAAGGCACCTCTCTGCCACTGCTCCTCGTCACGTTTCCAGATTTGAAGTGCAACTGATTTCATGGCAATAGGTATTTTCACACCCTGTCCTGAAGTAGTGCTGAGGGAGCCAAACCACACACATTTTACCAACCACTAAAGAAGAAAAATGCTGCTTTTAGACAATACAGTCAAGCCGTTGTTCCAGCTTCGGTTGCTGACTGGTAGAGAATATGCTGTTGGAAACCTGGATGTTGGACAATTCAGTTATGTGCGTGCTTACTGCACCACTGGTGAAGTACAAAAGTGCAACAGTGGGAGCCTGAAATTTCTCTGCTTCCATATAACCTCTGAAAGCAACAGAACAGGAGGGCTCATGACGCATTTGGGATATCAGCATACAGCCAAAGAGACACAGAAGAGAAGTTTGGGAATCTTTGCTGAAACTGGGACCTGTTTCCCCTCTCTCCCCAGCCCTCTCTTCTAAATCCAAGTAGGGAGCGGGGTTTAAGCACCTCACACCCAAATCTTGTCTGAGACTGGCATAGGAGCTGCAGAGCAAAAACAAGGTCAATGAAGTCATTTCCACCACCTAACATGGGAAAATCTGCTTTGGCCCCTCCATCTCCGCGACAATTTTCTGGTGCTGAATTTGTCATGGCTAGCAGGTTTCTGTGCTGCACGACTGCCTTCTGAAGTGGCCCCTGCTCGGACGCCTGCCGCCCC